AGCTCTATTTTAAAGGGAGCCTGACTAGCCAGGATCTGCTTGGGAGAACAGGAAAGCAGGGAAGAAAGCAAGGCAACATGCTTTTCCACTGTTTCTCTTGCTCTGTACCTTTGCATGTGACCTAGCCCTCCTGATCCATGCACTGCTGAGGCTGCACCTATTTATCATCAACAAGCTGGAGGACCAAAGGCAGAAATTGCTAAAGCTAACTCTAAAAATGTAAACCATTCGACTGGCAGCAAATGAGAAAAAACTGTTGTAAGAAAAGAAAAATGGCATAAACAGGCTAGGCACTAAATCAGAAATGCAAATTGTTAATAAACATGAAATAAATCACTCTCGCTAATAATTAGGACACCAAATTGAAAAGTTACATATTTTCACTTAGCCTAAAATAATACTCATAAGAACCCAAACATAAGGACACTCAAATCAATGTCTGTTTATACTTCAAAAAAAACAGAAATAACAATAGGCATCTGATTAATCATAACACGTCAAAAGACTACTATGGAGTTATTAGAAACAATGATATAAATCTGTGCACTGATAATATGCCTTGTTTTATCACCAAATGAGTTCTAGGTAACATAAAAAGTATATAGCATCATCCCATTCTTGAAAATAAAACTAAATAAATAAATACACACACACTTACATGAGTATACATGTGAATGTATACAGTTGACCCTTGAGCAGTGTGGTGGTAAATGGCATTGACCCCCACACAACCGAAAATCCGCATATTAACTTTTGACTCCCCAAAAATTACTCTAGTCATCTCTCGGTATATGAAAGGGACTGCTTCCCGGATCCCCTGCAGATACCAAAACCCATGGATGCCCAAGTCCCTTATATAAAATGGCTTAGAACAATGCATACAGTCAGCCTTCTGTATCCACCAATTCCCAAACGCAGATAGAAAATACTGTCCAGGCACTGAAAAAAGTCCCCATGTAAGTGGATCCACACAGTTCAAAAACATGTTGTTCAAGGGTCANCATAAATTATTATGGAAGGTTAAAGATAGCCACACATTCTTTGACTTTCCTCCCTTCAAGCAGTGGGGTCCATGTTCCCTACCCTTGAGCCAGGAAGTGACATTGTCCCAGGCCCTCAGTGACTCCAGTTTCCACACCCTGTCTTGGAAATTTTGCCTTGGAAGCAGCCAACATGCTCTGAGGAAGGCCCAGCTTGTAAAGAGGTCCAGACAGAGAGGGTCCAAGGCCACTGGCCCAGTTACGCCCAGCTGAGCTCCTAGGTGACAGCACCACTTGCCAGCTATGTGTGTGAGTAATCTCAAGTAAATCTCTAGGCCAGCTGAGCTGCCCTCAACACACATGGAGCAGAGAAGACACATCCAGACATGGCCAGGCCTAACTGCAGATTCATGAGCAAAATCAATGGCCGCAGCTGTTTGAAGTCAGTGAGGTGGTTTATAATGCAGCAACAGATAACCGGAAGAATTTATACAATTTAAAAAAATAAATGCCATAAAAGCTAAAAACATAAATATCACCCTCACTAATCTATGCATTCAGTGGAACCTAAAAAAACTCTACATGTCATGTTCCGCTGCTTCACATACTTAGTATTAGCCACTGACTCAGATCTGCGGGCTCAGCAACCATTTAGCCTCACCGATGCAGGAGCGCCATCTAGCATTAAAAGTGATTAACTACAGACTCCGCTGTAGGATCAAAATACAAAAAAGAAAACAAGATCTTTCTTCATCAGTTTTACAATACTATTTCCAAAGGTGCGCTAAGAAGATACCTATATTTCTCCCCTACTCTTTTTTGAATTTTTCTCTTTAAAATANCCGAAAGCCTCGTTCTTTTCAGGCTTGATGACTCTTTCCATTTATTTGCTGTGCTTCTCTTGTGGGTCTTACCTTTTGCCTCATCAGGGAATTCAGGTTCTTTCTCAATGGCAACAGAAACGGCTTCTATCTCACTGGCTTCTTCTTCTCTTTCTTTTCTCAGCATACATGTCACAGCTCTGTTAAGTCTCCGGCTCTTAATACCCTTAACATCTTGTTTCTCCTGTTGAGCTAATCTAAAGAAAGAATCAATTCGGAGCTGTGTCTAAAAAATAAAACACAATAATAATAAATCAGACAAGCATGTAAAGTTTCTAAAGCAAATCAAAGAGCTCCACCTTGATTACTAGCATTGTATGACTCTTTCTGAGAATACTAATCCATTACCTCTCGAAAGCCAGTTTCTCCTAAATGGTTTACTGACAGTAAATTTACTTTCTAGATCATACTTAACACAGTACTTGCACCATTCTTGTCAACTAAGTCCTCTGTCCACGTCTCAAATAAGAAATCCCTTCCTAGGCACTCAAAGAAAGTTAAATATTTTTTTCAGTAACCGAATATATCATCTTCTTTTGGAGCAACATAATTTCATGAAGTCTGTTTCTAAATTCCACTATCTCCTTTTTTAAAAAATATTATCATGATACAAAACCTTTAGGAGGCAAAGTCACAGTATTATATGTTAGGACTAGTAAAATATATTCATGCCTTTTGTTCAGCAAGTTCACTTTTAGGAAGATATTCTTTAAAAATGGTTACTTTTGGAAAGGTTATGCGCCTGATTTCACAACATTATGAAAACCTGAAAATTAAAGGGCCATTAAAAATGAACTGAACCAATTAAGTCAAATCTCTTTGATGAAACGTAATCTGGTCATTCGAAATTATGAAATTATGCAATACACAGAAAGAAAATATTACGATAATAGATGAAGGATAGATATATCAAATTGCATTTATCTACNGATGCCAACTAATAAATATATAAGAAATGATGGAGTTAAAAAACCACCATTTGGCAACCATCATAGCATAATTTATTCAGGTAAAAATCACCAATGGATGCTAAAACAAGTGGGTGAGGGTCTGTTCAGGAACAGCATATTTACACAGCCCCCAAAAACCCTTTCCATAAAATACTTATTAATTACAAAGGGGAAATAGCAACCTTAGAGAAATCTAGCAGACACCAGGAAAAAAATTAGCATGTATATGTGTGGGAGGTGTACGTGTGTAGTCATTTCTTTTTATTTGCAGCAGTTATATTCTATAAAGTCACTAAGAACACTAAATACATGAATACTGAATCTGTGCTCCTATAGGAAATATATCTATAATCTTATATCCTAAAAACAACCCATCTTGATAAATTCTATTTTCTTTAGTTTACAAACAAGAAAACGAGGTTCAGGAGTGTTAAGAGATCTGCCTGAGGACACCTACTAAGTGCCAGAGTTGGTACTCAAACCCTGTCGAATGACCCCAGACCTTCCTGTCTATACTGCACAGCTCTCTCCCATGTCCACCCTCTGGTCATTTCTGTAGGGACTGAAACAAGAAGGCAGAGAGTGTCACCTTGCTCGGCCTCAGCTGGGAACGGTGTGGCAACTCAAATTTCTAGCTATTCTATGCATGTCTGCGAATGAGCACAAAGACACTGATGTGAGTATGGATTCTGGGGTTACAAATAAATGTTAGTGCGTAGGTAATTCTGCAAATACAGAATCTGAAGAATGAGGACTGACCATATAAAAGTGTGTACAGATATAGATATATAATATACGTATGTACATACAGAGAGACAGGCAGGCAGACAAACATATGATAAAGCAAATGTAGTCAAGTGCTAGCTGCTCAGGTACTGGGTAAAGGAACACAAATGTTTTGTAACATTTTTTTGACTTTCTTAAGTTTGTAATTATTTCCAAATAAAAAGTTAAAGGAACTAAAAGGAAACTCACATTTACCTTCACCAATTAGGGCACTCCCTCCCTTTAAAAACAACAAAAAGAAGAGCAAAACAGGAAAGGGCAAGATTCCGTTACTAGCTGTGACTTTCCTTGGCAAAGCCATTTCACCTTTCTGGGTCTCTAGTTCACCAGCTGAACAGAGTGGGAACTGGACCATCCTGAGGGAACTCTCGGTTTCTACAGATGTGAGCTCCTACCATTCTTTATCTCCAAAAGTAAACAATCACCTACCATCAGATTCACTTTCTTCAGAGTCCATTTCCATTGATTCCATGGACTCTGGAGCTGAAATTAAATCCTGGCCTGCAGATTTCATCATCTCATGTTCTTGGATGGTTTTCAGGAAATCCTCAGGCTCTTTAGCATTAAGTGATACCGTATTTTCTAAGTTACTTATTGCCTCTGAAGGGACACTTAGTGTGTTATTCGCTTCTTGCACACTGGCAGTGCCAGTAATTTCAGAAGCAGGATTTTTTTCACACTCTATTTCATCATCACTTGAAAGAACAGAAGAATCATATTTATTCTGAGATGGACAAAGATCTTGTTGTAGCTCAAGCACTTTGGTATATGCTTCATTCCTTGATACAGAACTTGGACTTGTCAGAGATGCTGAAGTCAGTTCCCTTCCACTCTGGAGCCCAGGTGCATTCATAGGTATAACCACTGTGTTTTCTAAAGACGTTAGATCTTTCCTAGCATTAACCGTAGGCTCATGGCTTGTCTGAAAGGCTTCGCTAACCATGTGAATAACTGACATCTGTTCTTTGGAAATGCTAGATCCACTGCCCTGACAAAAGCCTGTGCTTGACAAAGGAGCTGTGTCAGCCAGCTCTTTTCCGTTACTAGCGTTGGTTACACGTTCCTCTGCAAAGTTCACGCTGGCTGAATGAGGCAGCGGTGTCAGCAGCACTCCTTTTCCGTCTCTCGTTTTCAGTCCTTCATCAGTTTCCTCATCAGAACTGGCTGTAAGCAGCTTTTTCGCTGCTGGCCTTCCCGTCTGCACATCGTCCCCAGCATACACTTTCACAACTCCATCATCATCAAGAGCTTTCTGAATAGCTAAGAGAGTCAGTGGTGATATGGACCCTCCTTCTACAGGAGCAGATGCACCGCTCTTACTGTGCTGCCTTTGGTTCTCACTCTCCAACTCCTCTTCGGAGCTACTTCCCAGCATGGCGGCTTGCATAGCCAGTAAAGTTCTTGGAGAAGGAGGGGTAGCATCAGGTTCTTTCTCTGGCTTTAGTTTTTCACATGGAGGCAACTTCATGTCAGAACACATGCTGTGTATTTTGCTGAAAGATGGAAAAGACTCTGAATCCACTCCTGCGTCTTTCTTAGCTTGTATACCTTAAGAAAAATTAAAACATTCTCACTATGTAGTTTTACAGTATGACAATACACTTCTCAATAACATGAATAAGAGTAGACTGGTTCTCTTAAATGAAGTTATACATTTTCATTTAATCATCAACTGAATGTTAATTCATTAGTTAATTTTAAAGTGGGTTGGTACACTAGTACATAAACCATTAAAGCTACATACAATTATTCCATAAGTAGGACATCATTAATATTACCCAGGGGTGATAGTTTATACAATTCAGAGATACAATGTATTTTTGGCTTTTAACCATCAAATAAGTGGTGGTGCCCAGTACCTTTTATCAAGATATAATGTGAAGTGTCCTCAGAGACCACTCTCCTTGACTCTACCTCCTTTAAAAAGCCCCCTTCATCTTCATATTGCTTTTGGATTTGTCCTGAATGTCGCTGATTCATTTCCTTTTGGACATTTTCTATGTGTTGGTTTAGTTGGTTCTTTTTAAGTAAGCCTTTGAGCTGGTACTGTGAAAAGTCATTGGATTCCTAAAGCAAAATAAATAAATAAAATTATTTTTATATTAAAGACAGATATTATCAAATTTCCATCTATTTGCCCAAATGTGAATAAAGAGCANGCATTTCAGATGTAACAGATCCAAACCTGGATCCTCCTCTCTCTTGCTCTGCTGCGCCTTCCCCAGTCTCATCTCATTAACGGTGAGTCCATTCTACAGTTACTCAGGAGGGGGAGTCGCGCCTGACTGTTCTCTCACCACACACCCAGTCTACCTACAAACCCTCGCTATAGTGCGGCAGACCCCACTTGGTTATGGCCTCCTCCTTCCTCTCTGGTATTAACTCTCGCCATTCTCCTCATTCACTCACACTAGCCTTTGTAAGTTTGCTCAGGCTATGAAAACAAAGTACCCAAATGGGCTGGCTTAAACAACAGGAATTTATTTCCTCACAGTTCTGGAGGCTAGAAGTCTGAAATCAAGGTGTTGGCAGGGTTGGTTTCTTCTGAAGGCCTCACTCCTTGTCCTGCAAATGGCCATCTTTTTCATGTGTCTCCACATGGTCTTCCCTCTTCCTTCTATGTCCTAATCTCCTCTTAATATATAAGGACACCAGTCAGATTGGACTCAGGCCCACCCTAATGACCTCATTTAATAATCATGTCTTTAAACACTCTCTCTCCAAATACAGCCACATTCTGAGGTACTGGGGTTAAGACTACAAGGAACGAATTTTGAGAGCAGACAATTCAACCCATAAGCACCTCTTGCTTCCCTAGAACACACCAACCAAGCTTCTGCCCAAGGGCCTCTGGACATGCTAATCCCTCTGTCTGACATACTCATCCCTACGGTAATCTATACCACTTTCTTCCTCTTTCCTTTAGACCCCAGACTAAAAGTTGCCTACTAGTACCACCTTTCCAGACCACAACTCTACATAAAACAGTACATGTACTTCCTGTGACTCTCCCCTCTCGTTCACTGCTTTATTTTTCCATATGGCACATACTATTGTCCAATTATGATTTATGTACTTTTTAATCATGTTTCTCCTACTAGACTGTTTTATTCTCTGCTGTTTCCTCATTTCCAAGAAAAACAACAGGAATATCGGAATCACTCAGTGTGTGTTTGTTGGATAAATGGAGAGTGAAAGGCTGCCGGAAACACCATATAGGACCGTGAGGGTCATGATTCCTCCCTGCACTAAACCTTTGCTTCATTCTCGAGATCTCAGGTAACCAGTCAAAGTCTAACCAAGTCAGATGACTAAAGTGCAGAAAATGCCTAAACATACTAGGATTTTAATTTCTTAGCTCTAATTTAAAAATCCTATTCCTCTAAGTAAAAGACACTTACATAAAAACTTGTACAAACTACCGTTTCCACTAATACATCCAATTAGTTCCTTGGAAAGAAAAAATTAATACAAATTCTGGAGGGAAATTTCAGAAAGTAATCATACCCTGAAGTCTTACCTAATTGGTTGTGAAAGTCCACATACTGGTAATATTCTACAAACTTGTTTTTATTAAAAAAGTTTTTATAGACATGCCGTGCTCCAAACAGCCAAATATCACTGTCATCGGTGATTGTTCCGGAAGTTTGATCAGTCAGATCCAGGATGGCGCACTGAGCCTCTGCTTCCATGGGAGCCTCGATGTAGGGAATCCCAAACAGGCGCAGAAGTTCCTGAAGAGTGACAGAAACATGACGACCCTCACTGAAATGCAGTGCCAGGCCCTGGCCCGAAATGGAAGGAGTGCTTCCACATTTAACTCATGCCCTCAGGGACTCTGACTGAGTAAAACTATCAATAGGTATTATTAAGAGGCCCATGTTGGAATGCCTACCTGGCTCTCCAAAAACATCTGTCCTGTAACAGTAGCAGCAATCCGTTCCTGCTGCTGTTTTTGAGCATTCAATGAATTCTGTTGTTCTAAAAGGTTGCTCTCCAGAGTTTCCAGCTCCTCCTACAAAATAATTTCATTTGTAGATAATTATACTAATAATCCAAATACCTTCATTTGTTACAAAAGCCTGCATTTAGTCTGACTAAAATCGCCAATAAGCTTTTCTCCTTATAAAGTTTTCCACTTGGATTTCTGAGCAAGTCTGTAATATCTTTAGAGTTCCCTCACTAAATAACATGGAAGGTGGAGACTATCTCAGCCAGCCACCTACATAAAAAGGAGCCATCAGCAAGAACAAGAAGATGCATGCAAATAGCTCGTAAATATTCATCTAGTAACTTCTTGAAACTCACAATCTACTTAACATGGATGGCTTCCTTAGCAGTAAGTTAAAACACACCGTAACTTTATTACCAAATTAATATCTTGCCATTCAGCGAATGAACTGTCTGTATCTTTCTCAGTTTCCTCATGTGGCTCAATATCCAAGACCTCGCTTTCAG